CTGATTTTTATATAAAATTTCAGTAATATAGACAAGGATGAAAAAAAACTATAAAATTACCCATAATCCCTACATTCAAAAAATTACTCTGCATTTTAGTGAATATGTATCTATTTTTTTTTTCTGTGTGTGTTTTCCATATATTTGAAGTTGGGCTTCAAATCTCTCTCTAGTCATGACTCTACAACATACCCTTTTACATGGGATCCATGTGTTATTATAGTTTAAAAAAATCCAAAAGTTTAAACATACCATTATTCAGTCAAATAATTATAATAATAACAATGCCATGAATTCCTTGGAAATTTTTCCCTCTCATCTGTTTGTTTCAGATGATATAATATCCCTAAAAGCTAATCCCACCCTTTTGAGAGGTTTCATCCAAAACAGCCCTAAGAAATTTCCAGTCCTCAAAATTGATCACTTCTATATCTAAGATGGAATTTAGTACAGTTATGATTTATGGTTAACAATTTATAATAATAAGTGATTTTAAAACATGAAGCATTCTTAAATCTTAAATAGTAAATAGTAATCACAGAACATTTCCTAATTTCACTCGCAGAATCTGTAATTTGTTTGTCACCCAATTCTGTCTTTTCTACAGAGTTCTTGTAATAAATGGTTCTAAATATCTATGTTGCTGTGAAGCAAATCAGAGAGGTTTCAATTTCAAAACAAAGTAAACAAATAAATTAATGCCTAGGGCAAGTTTTACACTATATTGGAGAGTTAGTTGTTATGATGCACCTCTTGAGTCTTATAATCCTTTCACATGGACTACCCCAGCATTTCCAGATTGCATCAGAATTACCTGCAAACAAGGCTACCTCCTCCCCAAACTTCCTCTGAAACAGTAGGAAAAAGAATTGCTTTGAGTGCTTTGATCTCTATTTTCCAATCACTTAGCATAGAGTCAACTACAAATACCTCGATAAATGTTTGCTAAGTAAATAACCCAGGAGAGAGAACTAAAATCTATATACACCGAAGTGATGTTAAAAAAAAAAAAAAAACACGCTTGGCAGTGTGAGTTCTTGATTGCTGACAAGCATAGTAGAAAGGGTAATTGGTTGTGCATTAAAGAAAGTGGTATCTATTGCAAATGGAATATGCCAAGAGTTGAAAATCAGTGAGTCCTACAAAAAGTCCTTGACCATCCCTGTGCCTTCACCTTTCCTCTTTTACCCAAAGCACTGCCTACACATGCTGCCTACCCCACGTAGGGCAACTCGCCCACCATACCATTAGTTCTCTGTTCTGCTCATATCTCTGGCATAATTCCCTTGTTGTACTGTGGCCCCATCTGGTGTTTCCCCCTCTGCCTACATTTTCCCAAATGTTAACTGAAGGTCAAAATCTCTGCTTGATTTCATTGCTTTCTCTTTACTGCCAAACTCCTGGAAAGGCCCACTCCTGCAGTCTTCATAGCTTCCTATTTCAGGTGGTTCATCTGATCCTGGTGTTCTCTCTCCCACAGGACAACTTTCGTATTTACTTCTCAGTCACCTTAGTCTTATAAAGACATCATTTAAAGCACCAAAAACTCATTAATATCTGTTCCAATGATTTCAACTGAATCAGGTGTTCCTAAAATAAATAGTCAAGAATAAGCTGTCCAGAAGAGGCCATCTCTCTCCCAATTATAATTGACATCTGTGCAGGGTTAAAACATTAAACTTGATGAAATATCTTTCATAACTGTTCGATTATCTCTCCCTCCCCCCAACCAAAGCTCCCAGTTATTGCTGTAATCTCTCTCTATTCTGTTTTGGCATCGCATCTGCCCTAACACAGTAGATCTTGTTACTTCCAGTCTGGTGTACTTATAATTGTCTCTGGCATCTCTATACTCTGACATATCCTAAATGTCAACCCTACCTTAATAGCAAATAAATTCAAGTGCGTCTACTAATTTCTGGACACTATTCAAGCTTAGCCTATTGTTTTGGATCTTTCTAAGAATATTCCCTCTTAGTGTAGAAAATGCTTAAGCTCTGATGCTAGAGAACCTGACATTTTTCTCTGGCTCTTACAAATCATGTTACCTTGGGCAACTTGTTTAACATCTGTACCTTAGCTTCCCCATCCATAAAATGGGGATAAAAATGCACCTATTCATATATAGGTTTCTGTGATTATGATTAATCATAGCAAGTTAATAGATATGAAATGCTTAAGAGGTGACAGATGTATATAGTAAGTATCAACAACTTATAGCTTTTATTCATAATACAGTCTAAAAAATTCTAGCTACACTCTTTCCCATACAAAGTATGTTTTGCCAAAGTACTTTTCTATATGCTATTCTCCCAGACTCTAGTTAAAAATTCCTATCCATCCTTCAAGACCCATCTCATATTTTTCTTCCAATATATGTTGGTCATATATAGTCAAAGTGAGTCCTATGTGAAAGTAATGTGTTTGCATTTGTGGAGATTCTTACCAAGTGCCAGACACCCAACAGTGTGAATGTAGGCAGGGCCTTGGCCTTCAGACACAATCTAGAGGGAAAGAAGATACTATCTCCCGCCTAGGTTAGCACATAACCATTACTTCCTCAGCTTTGCACTCCCACCAGGTCCTCCTATGAACTTATGCTTTCTGGATATTTTATTTCATTGCAGTAAAGTTGGTATCTTTAATTTTGTGATAGTTTGGAAAATATGTAACCATAGAGTAACTTTGGGCTTAAAACATTTTGAGAAACTGCCAAAGTACCAGCACCATTTTTACAGCCCCACGAACAATGTATAAAACCTCAAGTTTCTCAACATCAATGTTGATTCTTGTTATTCTGACTTTTTGTTAAAAGTATCCTGGTAGGTATGACATATCTCATTGTATTTTTGATTTGCAATTCCCTGAGAACTAAATGATCCTGAGTGTTTTCATGTGCTTATCGGTCACTTGTCAGTCTTCTTTGCAGAAATATCAATTCAGATTCTTTTTCCCCTTTTAATTGTGTTATTTGTGCTTTTATTATTGATTGGAAAAAGTTCTTTATATGTTCTAAATACAAGTTCCCATCTCATATATGATACTGCTTAACCCAAAGTCACAAAGACTTACTTCTCTGTTCTTTGTTGTTTTATAATCTTGTCTCTGACACGTAGGTCTCAGATCCATTTCAAATTAACTTTTGTATATTATATTATATTATATTATATTATATTATATTATATTATATTATATTATATTATATTATATTATATTATATGGAGTTCTACTTCTTTATTTTACATATATATTCATTTGTTCCTATATCGTTGTTGAACAGACTACCCATTCCCCATTGAATTATCTTGGTATCCTTGTCAAAAATCAGTTGATCATATGTGCTCTTTTAATTTCTGGACACAATTCTATTGCACATATATATTATATATATATTCACATCTTATGCCGGTAACATATACTGACTTGCATATTTTATAGCTTTGTAATAAATGTTTAAATCAGGAACTAAGATTCCTCCCACTATGTTCTATTTCAGGATTGTTTTGTTTCTTCTGGGTCCTTCATATTTTCATAAAGATTTTAGGATTATCTTGTTAATTTCTAAAAAAAATCTTGTTTGGATTTTGATAAGGAATCAGCTTAATTTGTATGGCATTATTACCAATTTAACAATTCCAATTTATAAACATGGGATATCATTCAATTTATTAGGTTGAATTTAATTTCTTTCAGCAAAGTTTCCTAATTTTGAGGATACAAGCTTTGAAAGACTTTTTATCAAATGTATTCCTGAGTGTTTTATTCTTTTGCTGTATTACATAAAGTTTTTTCCTTAATTTCATTTTTTCATATTGTTTATTGTTAGTGTATGGAACTATAACTTATTTTGTATATTGATTTTATATCCTGAAACCTTATTGAACTTGTTTATTAGTTCCAATCAACTTTAATTGATTGATTTAGAATATTTTTAAGTACAATACCATGTTTTCTTCACTTCATTTCTAATCCATGCATTTTATTTCTTCCTTGTCCAACTGTCCTGTACAATGTTGAATAGCAGTGTGTAAAGCCAACATACTTTCCTTGTTCTTGATCTCAGATGCAAAACCACTTCACCGTTCACTAGCAAGTATGATGTTAGTAGTTCACAGATACACTTTACAGTTTGAGGAAGTTCCTTGTCTTAATTTGTTGACAGTTTTTAATTATGAAAGGGTGTTGGAGATTGTCAAATGCTTTTACTAATTTATTGGACAATTCTGTGAGGGATTTTTCCTTTTATTCTATTATTATGGTGTATTACATCAATTTATTTTTGCAAACTAACTTTGCATTCCCGCGACAAATCCCACCTGGTCAAGGATCATAAAAAGGTATAGTCCTTTTTATATATTACTGGATCTGATCTGCTAATATTTTATTGAGGATTTCTGTCTATGTTCATGAGACATTTGCCCGCATTTTTTTTTTTTTTTGCTGTTGTTTTACTATCAGTAAACATTAACCTCATACCATAATTTTGGAAGTAATCTTGTGTTTTTGCGGAGAGATTGTAAGGAATTTTTATTAATTTTTCCTGAAACATTGGGTCACATTTTATTTTTAAACTTTTTCTATTTTTATATTTTAAAAAAAGCAGTTCTGAGTCATGTCGAACAGGAGAAAGCCAATGTTCACCCTTTAACTCTGTAGTTCTGAAATTAATCTATGGGAATCTATAATCCACAAGGGTACGATCTAAATTTCAGTTAAAGGAAAAAGAAAGTTCCCTGATTTGCCCTTAGAAGTTTTCCAAGTTAAAAAAAAAAAAAATGTAGAATGTCTGGCGTGTACTGCTGCTCCGCAACCGCCACCCCCAAGTTCTCTTTCCTTTCACTAGCCCTTGGGACTAGGAGTTCCAGACCAGATGCGCACAGATGTGGTAGGTGACACTGGAGATGACTGTGCTATCACCCCGTTTCCGTCAGCATCTGGAGAGGGCGGGGGTTGGGTCGAGAGGGTCTCCAGGGGCGGGGCGGAGGAGGAGGGAATGCAAAACGGCACCTCGTCCCTAGCAGCCACGAAGCAGCAACGCCCCTCCGTATAAAAGCCGAGCAGCCTCACTGCCGATGATTCCAGCGCTCAACAAATGGGCCCCAGCGGCGGAATGGGCTAACGGGCATCACCATCGATGGGAAACAGCCTGATTAATAAACCCCGGCAGTGAGGGCGCAAAGCCTGGACGCCAGGGCCGAGCACGTCCGGCTCCTGCACCAGCTTCGTCGACTCACGCCCAAGGTGGGCGCGGCGCCCAGGACGCGGGTGAGTGCTCTGTACAGTAAGGCTGGGGAGCAGCGATGACAGTGGCGGTCATTTTCAGATCAAGGTGTCCTCACTGCGGTCGCCCTACTCTTCCAGTAGTTGGTTTCCGGGGGACGGAGGGAGGGAGCACAGTTTTGAACCGCGCCCTCGTGGAGCTGCCCAAAATCAGGTGAGGGATTTTTGGAGTAGGAAGGAACAATTTTGACTCTTTGACAGCGTCCCCCAAAATTTAATTCCTACTTGACCTAACTCTAGTATAAGCGGGAAATCTGCAGAAATTGGATGCAGTTAAGTGAACTTTTCCCAAAGACTTTTAGCTAACGCTTTTCTTTTCAACCTAACCTTACCTTTACATCATAACCACAGTGGGAAGCTTGTTGACTCTGGCATTCTTTTAAAAGTTGTGTCATCAGAGATGAAGAGTGTCCTGTACCTTCCCTGCTGTTTTCTAGGCGAAGTCTCAGTACCACCCTTCTCTTCCCACCTCTCTCTGCAAACTGCCTGAGGTCACTGCACACTCAGGTGTTCCCAGGTGCCCTATGATTAGTCAAATTGGGGAGGAGAGAAGTTGGAGTAGCTCACACTCTAATCCCCACAGTCTGGCCTAGCGCACATTTGTAACAGAGTCCGGATTTTAGAAGCTCTTCTGCCTCCAAGACGAATCTGAACCTAAGCCTGTTCCTTCCCCCCACTTCTCTGTCTAGCACCCCATTCTCCAGTTCTCTTAAATGGCCACCTCAATCTTTTCACAGTGCCAATTGCAGTCTCTCCCGTGAAATTCTCAACTTTCTCAAGTACCTTCTGCCTCATTGCCTTTGGGCAATTGTGACCTGATTCTTGAACCCAACTGGGGTCTCTTTACCTAATCTTTTTTTTGCTGGTGGTCTCATAAGTATCCCATATCCACAATTGGCTCCCTAGAGCGCTCTCTTCATGGAACTTTGGGTGTTAACTTTTCCCTGGGAACATTTGGAACTGGTCTACATTTATTTCCAGTGTAATTTGGGGAAGAGAAAATTAGAGAGGAAAACCAGAAAGCTGACACCCAGCTGTTCTGTTTTATAAATTTATTGAGCATCTTGTACCCCCCTCTAGAGCTGCCTCATTCCCAACAAAATTCTCTTGGTAGTTACCACTGAAAGCCCTGATCCCCAGGCATTCATGCCTTGTAGCATACACAGTAAACCCCTTTGAAGTCTTTTTTCAAAAAGAATCTGCATGTTCCCTTGTCTCTTGGGGTGTATCCCCAGCTGCTAAGGCTACCCAAATGTGTACTCTATCCTTCTGGCTGTGGTGGATTCTACCACCCTTCCACCCATCCTGGCAGATATTTCAGGGAAGGGTAGCACAGGGAACAGGGAATGGAGACTCCCACTTAACTAGCTGTGTGCTACTAGGAGAATTATTTAATAACTCTGACCCTCAGGTTCCAGTAGTCCCTCTAGTGATAAAATTCTTAGATTCCTCTTATTTCCTGGTTATTATTTTAAAAATAAAAGTATAAATAATTATCCTTTTTAGCCAAAGTTTGAGGGCCTCAAAGCTGTATAAATAACTTCTCTCTTAAATTGTCACTGGATTTTCCAGTGGTGACTCCAAGTACCCATCCCCCAAAAAGGCTCAGTAGTGGCCCCTAATTGTTAGGTCTCTATATTTGCTAAAGTTTCATGATGAGTGTTGTCAGGTCTGTTATTTACTTTATCCCCCCCACCTTTTTTTCTGATTTCATTGTTCTTTGTTCCCATCATGAGGCCTTGATTTCTGATTCAGCTCTTCTTTGACCTTAAACTAAATCCAGTGCTCCATCTTCCAGCTCAGAAGAAAACTGATTTTCTTCCACTGGTTCCACTGATTCCAACAGAAGACTTGTCTTCCTTGAGATTTAAAAAATGTCTTCTCTCACTGTTGCTTTGGCAATGTGGCCTGTCCAGAGAGCTCTGAACTTAAATCTTACTTCTCAGTCTCCCTAACCTTGGTCTAGTGTTCAAAACAGGAGAGATACTTGATGGATTGTGCGGTTTTTTCTCCTTTTAGTTTCCTTTTAGTTTTGTTCTTTTTTTTTTTCCAGTTTGGGATAAATTGTGTGTATGTATGTGTGTACATGAATTTGCTGCTTCTGCTTATCACTGCTGTTATTACCAACACGACTATGTTGTCATTGCTACTCTAGCCCTGTGCTAGCGAAAAATAATGAAAGGAAATTTTATCTACTACTTGCCCAATGCCCAGATAAAATACTTAGCTGAGAAGGAATATGAAATTCATAATTTAAATGCAGGATGTGCAATAATCCCTGGGGAATGCCAGAGTCTCACAGTAGGCTAGCAAATTAAGAATTTTATTTAGCAATTTGAAGTAATCCAAGTATTTTAAAGATTAAAAAACTGCCTTATAGAAACACTGGCAATAAATAAATATGGAGCCAGAGGAACAAAATATCCAAGGTTGAGTTAGGAACTCGTTTCTCTCATATTATCTAACAAACTGGACAAATCAGCATTTAAACCCACAGTCATTGGAAACTGCTAGTATTTTTCTTCAAAATGTTCAAAGATTTCTCTTTCAAAATTGCCCAGTCATTGGATTGCCCAGTCAGTGGTTTGTGTTTTTTGTAGATTCTTATTAAATCTGAATAGTAAAGGTCCCATAAACCACTATAAATTTTGCTCCATTTCCAACCTAAATTTATCTATTTATTTACATTTTCTATTTTATTAATTTTTCTACCAAAAATTACCTTGTCAATGACTTAATATATAGTAATCTTAAATCAAGGAGTATCTAAAGAGATTTAAGGTAATATTAACTGATTTAGCTAGTCATCGTCATTGTTCTATTAAAGCTCTAAAATATATTTCAATTACAGTAAAAAAAAATTAAGTTATAAATTTGCCAGCTAGCAAATTAGCATTTTGAAATATACTTTCATGATAAAATTGACAAGTGGAAACAGAAACAAAGTGTTTATTTAGAACAGTCATACAAATGAATCTTGCTAGTTATTGTTGCCATATTAACATTAAAAGATTTACTGTTGATTTTGATTATTTCTTTTCATAGCATATAGACACAGGGAGAAAATTCCATTGAGTATGCAGACCAAAACTGTCTTTGAAAGTAACTTGTTAACAAAGAATTCACTAATTGCTGTAAATGCTGTGTGACTATTTTACGTAATTTATTATTGTTTTAGCTCAATTTAGAAGAGTTTTTGTTTTGTTCCTAAATAGGTGCAATGTGCTGGTTATCAGAGTTTTTTCCTTATCCCAAAAATATTTTAAATTGCATTGCTAGGCTTATGTTTACTTTTCTATCATTTACAAGTTTGGAAAGTATGAGAACTGGGTATGTTTTGTTTATCATAATGACATTGTGCCTTCAGAGTTGAAGTCCTAATTCTAGGTTTCCTTAAAATTTTAAATCATAGAATTAATTATCATTTAAGTCAGATTAACTTTTATGTGACTACTTATTTTATACATATAGAATCTGTTTTGTTCTTACCAAATGTTATTTAAATCTTATTTAGATCAATGAATTTAGTGCTTTCAATGGTTAACTTAAAATTAAGAATATTGAAGGATACACATATGATTATGCGCTCTTAGAGAAAGTTAATGATTGCTGATTTGCTCACTACATTTTCTTTAGCTATTTCTTATTTTATATTAATCATAACTTTTTATCCACCTTGGAAAATGAAGAATTATATCTGAAATTTTTCAGTAACAGAAGATATTTATGAAGAGAATACTATATATCTTTATGGTATTAGGCCCTGAGGGTATAGCAAAATGTAAAAATGGTCTTTGTCCTAGCGACATGTTGATCAAGCTAAGCACATATTTAGTTATGGGCCTCTCCTAATCTTGTCAATGCCACTGGGGGTAGGGAGACACTTAAAAACAACTGTCCTTCAGACCTACTGTTTCAGCCAGGTGGAATATCTAATGTGACCACATTTTTTGATTCTAGCTACTTATACAATAACCATGATTTTTCCCTCCCTAAGGGATAACTCCTTTGATGGTTATCACTGCTTCCTTATATTCTATTACTATATGCTCCAAAGATCACTTTCTTAATTATTTGTTGCTCATTTATTTTCAGCTAAAGTTATGCAAAATGCTAAATATATTTTCAAATCTGTGTTTTAGAAGAGAAGTGTTAGAAAGAAGTCAGTTTTCTAGTCTCATTTAAACATATCAAACACAAGAAAATGACATAAAATTGATGCTTTAGTCTTACTAATTGGGTAACTAGCTATTAATTCCATTTTTTAAAGCAGTATTGGTGAGGGGAAAGTTAGAAAAGAAAAAATGAAAAAGAATAAAAGGTCGAAATATCAGTAATATCAGTAATTCTTAAGGCATTCTGTAGGCAGTAAAGCAAGCATATTATAATAATCATCTGACAAGCATATTTTAATTTTTTAAAGATGTTATTTATTTATGCATACAAGAACTGGGGTACAGACAAGAGGTGTGAGAGTGAGATGATTCACCAGAGAGAGTGGGGAACAGAACAGGCAGATTGACTGAAATACACAGCTGAGGGGAGCAGCAGGCGAGCCAGGAGAGGTCTGCTGCGCCATGTGGGTATCTCCCTGGCTGGGGATCAAACTCGTGCTGTAGCTGCTGATAGCTTCATAGGGTACATCTTAACTAACCCTTGCACCACCAGGGATTCCCACATATTTTAATTTTTATTGAGGTAACATTGGTTTAAAATATCATGTAGGCTTCAGGTATACAACATTATAATTCAAAATCCGTATAATTACAACATGAACACCACCAAAAGTCTAGTTTCCATCCATCACCGTATAATTAATCCATTTTGTTCACTCTCTTTCCCCTCTGGTAACCAAGGTTTGATTTTATTTTCTCATTTGTTTTGTTTCTTTATTTTCCACATATGCACAAAACCATACAGTATATCTCACTGTGTCTGACTTATTTCACTTAGCATAATGCCCATTAAGTTCATCCATATTGTAG